ATAGCTTCATCTCTTTTAACAGATATACTTTCTGTTATACAATCATTCGTTTTGGGAAGCTTTGAATATCGTGAGAATTTTCTCGTATTTCTAGGATCCGATAACTTGTACGCCTAGCCCAATGCCCTCTCCCGCCTGCGCATCATCACTAAGCTAATTATTTGACAAGGCTAGAGCTGGTAATGACTAGTGAATATGCGGTTGCTATGCTGTGAGAATAGCCTTAAGATGTGCCTCAAATAGAATAGTTTCCCTTGCCCGTTCCACTAGTACGTTGGAGGGAGGGCCTATAATATATAGCTTAGTTGAAAAAGTTGAGTTTTGCGTCCTACAGCTCAGTGGCCTGTTCAGACCTCACTGGGTTCCCCTCTGGTTAAGCTTACTTAGTATATATTCTAACTTCTAAAATCGGCAGTTCGAGTCGAACTTCAAGGATTTAAGTGGTTAATTGGGGCTTGGGAACCTAAAACTGGAGTAGCTGCAATGCATGTATGCCGAATAAATATTTCGTTATCTCATAACCGCATACCATCTTTACAGATCAAAATCTTAGAAAATTGACTGACTGATTATTGACATTGGAGATTCAATGTGAATATGCGATCAGAACAACAGCATTGTAAATGATTTATTTTTTCATTTCCCTCCTAATCCCATATCCCTGTTTCCTTGTGTCATTTTGTCTTCTGCTCTTTTATGGACTGATCATGAATTAAATGAATTAACAGTCAATTTTTGGGATTATTTGAAATTGTTTGAGTTAATAACAGTTGCCAATATGATAGCTGGAAAGGGCGAGCTACAAAATTTTCAAAAGAAACCTGTGGCTATAGGTCTTGAATATAATTCGTGCTAGTAATTCATGGAATAAATGATACAAGGGAGCAAAATATGAATCAATTATATAGAAACAAATCAATAAAGTCAAAACACACAAATTTTCTGTTAATATAACCAGTAGCTTCATTTTTCCCCATCCCATTTGCTCTTTGGTATCTCTCCCGAGTCAGCAATTGTAACCTTCTTTCTAGGTTTCCCACTGTAAGTCCCAGCTCCACCTTCGATCATCTACACAATGTCCATGCCTTGAAAGACCTTCCCAAAAACAACATGCTCTCCATCCAACCTGAAAAGTTCTTACAATGATTATAATTTTGGGTCATTTTATCAACAACTTACTTTCATAATAAGAGAAGAGTAACAAAGGAATTTGAGGTGTTCCATCTCCCATTAGCACAGGATAAACAGACACACAGTTACTAATAATCTTTATAGGCAATACATATCACATTAGTTGTCCAGATAATGGGAATAGCTAAAGAAAATATTCACATTAGCATTTAGATAGCCAGCTTTGTTGGATGATTAAAAGCATAGAATCTCTGCATTAGGTCTGTACACCCAGAAATTTTTAGTTTTACTGGCTAATTCACCATGCCTCCAGCTGAGTTTCAACATGCCATTGCATCATATAGCTTACCAGCTGGCTTTGACAGTGGTGATAAAAAACTGAGAGCCATTGGAATCAGGTCCTGTATTAGCCATGGAAACTACACCTGCAATAAAATATTGAGAGAAACAACTAAATATTTGAAGAAATATTGACAATCAAACGGAAGAACCTTGACAACCAAGAAAATATTAAAGCTTTTCTTTTAAGATCAGAAAGCATTCGTGTTCATAAAGTCATATCCAACTGAAACGAGAAAGACAGTGAAACTATTATTACGCATGAGACTACCTGCATGTGAATGTTTTATCTTAAAGTTCTCATCAGGAAATGTGCCACCATATATCGACTCACTTCCCCTTCCATCACAACGAATTATATCACCACCTTGAATCACAAATCCAGATACTATACGATGGAATAGTGTTCCCTTATATCAAAGGGCTTTCCCATTGACACCCTTGCCTTTCTCTCCTTCAGTTTGAAAGCAAAAATTTAAGCATGTTTACCGCGAAAATTTATGCTGCCTATCAATAATACTTGGAATTGAATTGTTTACAGGTATAAAACCAACAAGATAAGAACGAAGTACCTGTACACAAAGCCCTGAAATTTTCTGCAGAGAACAAACAACAGCATTAGGCAACCGGGCAACATATATATAACCCACAATTTTCAAAAATGAATGGAACAGGTTATAGTACAGTAAAAAAATGGAAGTAATTGGAGAAAGAAAATTATAAATCTGAATTACTTTAAAAGGAAAGCTTTTTCTCACTCACTACATATGACAAGGCTGAGAGTAGCTTGTACACTAATGGTTTCAAGAAATTAAGTTTCTAAGGAATAAAACTATCGACACAGAAGATTAAAACATACCAACAGTTTTTGGTACAACTTCGCCATATAATCCAATAACGATTCTACCTACAGAACACAAAGTATAGCGCTGTAAGCTAAAAAGAGACAAGATTTCTTATCATCGCTGATCATGTAGGACATATAAAGTATTGTACCTACGCGTTGGCCATCAATATCAACATCCAAGTATACTCTGTAGGTGATTTCATGCTCTTCTTCTACAGTCTGCCCTTCCTCCTAAGCAACAATTTAGAAAGAATCAGGTAATATAAACTATCCTTGCGTTAACCTATCTAAATTGGAAGAGCAAAGCAATATTAGATTTAAAAAAAAAAAAACAATGAAATTGCAACCTCATCCTTGTCTCAACAAAGTAAAAGCTTTGTCAGAGTATACTTCAAAAGATTCTTTTTCTTAAAGGTTCAAACTTAAAAATAAGCAAACGACCAGGTTCATGAAAAGAATATCTCATAAACAAGCTACAACCATGACCATTCAAACTGAAATAAACCATACAAAAAAAATTGAATTTGAAATAAACTATATCCAAAAAAATCAAAAAATTACAAACAGATTAAAAGAAAAAAAAAACGTAACGAATCCCACCAATTTCATGAGATTATATTGAAAACACAAATCTGTATTACCGTACAAAATTCAAGAAATAACTAAAATAATCGAAACTCAGATCCAAATACCACATATTTTGCACATATCCGAAAGATAGGTATTTAGAGAAGAAGAAGAGCACACCCGTTTAGCTCCTGAGAAAGCGAAAATATGATGAAAATCGAGAGAACAATGAAGAGAAGAAGGCACCGAGGCTGTACCAAAATCGAGATCTCCAGGCGCATCTTTTCGTTTGTTTAATTCTTTTCCGTAATTACTAACAATAAACCTTTATTTGAATGACAAAGACAAGAAATAAATCCCAGGTTTGATCTTTTTCTCTAACACTATCACTCCCAGAGTCTGAGTCGCCTATGAAGACAACTGAAAGAATTTGGGGACCCTGTTTTATTTTATTAATGAAAGTTGAAAGCTTAATAATAAGTTTTACTGCTTAATTAAACTGCCATTATGAGCATAACTTTGAGATTGAGAATGGTTTAAGATAAATTTTAGACGTTTTCTGGGTGTATTATCGTGTAATCCATCATCAGAGACAAGCAGGCGGGAAGGAGAACAGATACGAGCCCAGTCTTGCTTATAGATAGGCCTGGCTTTAGCCGCTCGCCCAGTCTTCCGCTATAATTCTCTTGAATCATTTGGCTAGCGTTTGGTTTAGGGTTCTTCATTAAAAAAATCATGGTAATTTATATATAACGATTAGATAATTAAATTTCATAAGTACTTTATGCTATTATGTGATAGTGATTTAAAATTATAATGAGTGATCAGATAATTATTTTTTAGGGTGATCTAAAGGTCATCTTAAAATATGAAAAACTTTGATTATCGAAATAAAATAATATGTAAAATTAATCATTATTAATATTGTTCATTCAATATGTGAATTAAAATCATATTTTATCTTAAAATTAAAATTATTTTACATTATAAATTATTTTATATTTTAAAACTAGTATTCATTATAATAAATTCAAAAATAATTTGTGTTTTTTAATATTTTATATATAATATAATCTTTTTGTTTTTCTTTTATTATGAATTTAATAAATAAATTTATTTTTTCATTCAAATATTTTTTATATAATTTATATTATAAAAATTAGTTTACCTATCAATAAATATTTTATTAATTTAATAATATAATTATATTTTATTGTAAAATAAATAAAATATAACTAGTATTTAATAAGTTATTATCTTTAATTAACATTAAAATCATTATCTTGCATAATTATTACGTTGTTATTTTTGTATTTTTAAATAAAATAATATTTTAATTTTTAATAATATTAAATATAATAATCTTTAATTACTAAAAATTAATAACTGTTAACCAAATAAAATAATTTTAAATTACGAGTGATAAAATTAACTTGTGATTATATTATCATAGTGATCTTATAAAAGATACCAAATACTAGCTTAAATAATTTTGCTAACTTACATATAGCTAATTACAAAATTATTAAGGTCTGACACTCTAGATTAGTATTATGTTACAGTGGAAAAAGTTTTTGAGTTAAAAATAAAGTATTTAAAATTATGATGATAAAAATATAATTTAAAATTTTTTAAGTATTTAATATTGATATAAAAAAAAATTGCTGTACTGAATTGAAATGTTTAAAAAAATATATGTGCAAAATAATAAAATTTAATAATACGAGGATAGTAAGGTTATTTTATCCAAAAAATTGTAGTTAAATGCAAAAGCATCTCTTTAAAAACTTTGTTATTTGGATTTACAAACCGTACTTCTAAAATGAAAAATCAAATTTTTTATTGTTAAATATTGAGGTTGAATCAAAAGCCATTCTCAAATGCAAAAGCCCTCTTCAACTTCAGTGCTAAATTAACCCTAAATTATTTAGCCTAGTTCATACATGAGAAGGCTCTGAATCCACTGTTAGCACAATTAACAAAATTATAATTAGATAGAATTTTGTAGCAAAAGATTAATAGTTTGTCTCAACAAAAAAAGTGAAAATACATTTAAGCAATAAGCTAAAGAGCAAAGCTTCAGATCATAAGCTCATGCGACTGACTCCACCGAGCTGAAGACGAACATAGTAGTAATATACTTTCCACAAAAGATTCTAATACTAGACTACATGCATTACCAGTGTAGCCAAACTGGATTTACTCATCGTTTCAGTCACAAATGAATTTCTTCGTTTGATGAGTCAAAGGACAAGCCAATTTCACATGCCACTGAGGCCCTAGGGTACTTCAATAAGTTTTTAAGAAGGTGACGCCGTTTCTTCAAACACAAGGAAATCCCAATCTTCATTTGCTTCAAGAACTTGGCATTCTTTAGAATATATCGCACGAGTTTCCAGTCACATTCATTGTTAAAAAACCCAGTCAATTTAAGTGTTTTCAAGTTCATCGAAACACACTTTGGAACGCTCACTGGCAGTGACTGACCACATTTACCACCTGTGTGGTACATGGGTATACTGTGAAACACATTGTCTTGAGATTATCTAAGCACTCAAGGAAGGCTACCAGGCCATGCCAATACTGACAGCTAGTTTTAATTTCCAAACGGACCAGATTATGAAACACAGGAAGTAACATAGCCATACGAAAACAAACTGACTGGATGGTGTGTTCTGATAAAGACAGAAACTTAACGCTACCATCTCTTTAAGGAACCTGAATACTCTGTATTCATGTTTGCACAGTACAAAAACCTCAATAGTTGCTTCAACCAAGTTGAGTAAATCTTCTACCAGAAAATCACAATAGTTTTCATCCTTCAATGCTATCCTTTCGAGCAGTGGGGCATTAATCAGTAGCTTGTACCCACGAATATCATACCATGTTTCAGAACGTCGTCAGTTAACAGTAATTCCCTTCGATGAAGGCACACTAATGTCCAGAACAAGTGCATTATCATTATAGACCCTCTCCACAGTCAAATCCTCAAGAATTGGACAACTAGAAAGTAGCCTGCTCAAACAGTCATCACTTGCATATCTTACTCGCTCTAGTCGAAGAATCCTGAGAATTGGGAAATGAACATTTGCTGGGGCATCCAAAACATGATCGTACAACTCGAGAGACACGAGTGTTTTGCAAGCAAAAACACTGCCAGGCAATCTGACGTGTTGACAACACAAGTTGAGCTTCAGCTCTTGAACATCACGCCTAATCGCAGCATTAATCCAAGTCTTTAAATACTCTTCATCAACTCTAATATTAGGTTTGCAAGCCACGCTAAACTGGCGAATAATTTGTGTTAATACTTTGTAGACAGATTTCACAAACCTTGAACTGTTACGGGCATCAGTGGAGCTGAATGAAAGAACGGGAACTTTAGTCCATAAATCTGCCCATCTCTTTGCCAAAATGCTGGTGGCAACGGATGTTTTGGTTGGAAGAAAGGACAGGATGTTATAAAGAACCGAGACTGGTAAGTTGCTGATGCGATCAATGTCTTTTTGACCCTCTTCTTCATTGGAAAGGCAAAGTCGCTTTGAGGGTGACTGATCTGAATTAGCCATGAATATTAAACTTGGAATGATTTTTTTTTTTTTAACACGAACAATTTTACAAACACTTGGCACCCAGTTTAATATCGCACTCAAGTCGTGAAAAATGAAAAGTAGGAAAAGTGAAAACGAAAACCCATAAACTGAAATTGACCAACTTTCCCTGCTCTGTGCAGTTTCATGGCACGCACCTCAAAACTCAAATTGTTGTAATCGAAGAGCTTGGGCTTGAGCGGGCTACAGCCGAAGAGTGAAGCCTCGCTGCTCGATTTGGGCCAATGACTGATGTATCTATTGTCATTAATTAAAATCTCATTGAATTAAATAAATTATTATGATTCAGATGCTGATTAATTATATATAAATTCGGCTTTATTTCTTTGCAGACTTTTTCCGTTTCTACCTTTGCTACATAAATTTTAATAATTATTTTAATCATGTTATTAAAAAAATATTAATTTAATTAATAACTTTGATGACAAATTAGTTGGATTGGATGACGAATCCAATTTCGTTGTGAAAAGATATTGCACATGCAATTCACGACGAAACATTGGTTTAACTTTATATTTAACATATATTATACTTTTTCTGTTCTATAGATTCTGTTTAAGCTGACTTTTTTTGGTCATTTTTTTTCAAATTTAAATTTATTTTATTTTTAGTATATAATTGATTAAAATTTTAAAAATAATTTTCAAAAACATTGAATGAAAAAAGTTTTCAAATATAAATTAATTTAATAAAATATTAATAAATAAAAAGTAAAAATTTTCAACTAGAGAAAAACGATCCAAACATTATTTTTAGAGAAGATGAGTAACAAAAATGGACTGTACTCCAAATCAAATATTGTGGCAACTTGCATTTTGTACTTTATATTACTTTTATTTACACAAGATAAAAAATTAAGACTCAATCATAATTTCAAAACTTCAATAATATTTTGTGTATATATATATATATATTGTAAATAAATTAAGAGAAATTATGTTATTAATGAAGTTTTTAGACTTCATCAACTAAATTAAAAAGATTATTCTACATATATATTTTGTATGCTAAAAATTCATCAAAAATTAATTTGATAAAAAATACACATATCTCAACTTTTTAACACCGTTTCTAAAATTTAAAAGTATAAAAACTTTTTATTAATGCTTATAAAGTTTGTGATATTTATGGTTTCAATTTCCAAAATGTTATATCTTTTGGTTGAGAAACCTATGCCTCAATGAAAAAAAAACCCCATTTTACTTGTTAGTTTTAGGACACGAAATTTATGCCGATAATTTTCATATGCATGTGTCACGTGTCGGAAGCTGAAGCTTAGCTACCATGTGATCTTGGGCGGAAAATTACCTTTCATATGCCTAAGTAAGCTTTTAACCAACTTTGTTTCATGCATTAATCGATTGTGCTGGAACTCAACCTCCTAAGAGTTTAGGAGAAAGCTAAGAAAAGAATGATTTAGGCAAGGATGAATTATGTACACTTGCTCTTGGAACACAATCTTTATGTGTTCATTTGTTGTCACCTCTCTATCTCTCTATGTATGTATCTATATATATCTATACAAATGAAAAAGACGCTATCCTATTTATACTTGAGCGCTTTTGGTACCTATGGCTTAAATGATTCCAAATGTACGGCTATTAAGGGCTTACTAGAGAGTTTTAGGGTGCCCAAGCCCCAACAGGAATAATTAAGGCCTTTTTAAAGACATGCTTGTTTTAGGCACCTTACCAAGTCTCTGGGTTTGGTCTAGGCACTTCTGCTGAGTGCCCACACCTAACAGGTTTTAGAGTCTTCTCCATCTGGGCGCTACAATATCTCTGCTCAGTTGCGTATCTGGTTCTTCCAGAGGGTTTTATGCCCGCACGCTTAGTGTCACGGACTAAGCTTTCTCTCAACAAGCAATAGACCGTGCGGCACTTGAATGGGCGCTACCAACCAAGTCAGCCTTCAATAGATCAATATCTGAACAAATAATCATAAGCTATGGTTAGTCACAAGCATTCACAATAAGGCACAACATATCGAGATCAATCTCAAGCACACACATAAGAAGGCATATTCGCATCAAGAAAAAGAAAAACACACCGAGGTAACAATCGGGATGAGTTTTATTATAAACGAGACTCATACATCGGGACCTCCCACGGTCACCAGGGCCAGGGGGTAGCCCTTGGTGGGTGGCCTAAGCTCGCATAGCAACCGGTGAGACAGCCCAACACTACACTGCCGGCTCATCCCCCCTAAAGAGCCTTAGAAATTTTAGAGCTATGCTACTAGTAACCATTACAATGTTTGAAATGGGGACACTTTTCCTAGCACAAGGGATCTACCCAACCATGGCCCTATACATGGGTGGCTCATGGCAACCTAAGTCTCGATCATGACCTTATACAATTCTTCAATCTTCTTTTGAAATCTCTGGAGGTCGTGTTCTTTCTCCTAGCTGGTTTCTTCTAGTCCTAATCCCTTCCACTTCACTAAGTATTCCCAAACTAGTCTTTGAGATATCTTGGTTTCTCTGTCAGCTAAGATCTCTTCGACTCGACGCTCTGAGGGTGGCTTCATGGTGATGATGGCTTTGGTTGGCTCCCTTCAACTAGCATCTGTAGGATCTGCATGGAAAGGTTTCAGGTTGTTCACATGAAATATTGGGTGCACTTTCATCTACTTTGGTGGGTCAATTTTGTAAGAAGCATTCCCCACCTTAGAAAGGACCTTTACTGGACCTTCATATTTACGCACCAGTCTACGATCTCTCTTTCTCAGGAACCTGATTTGTTCAGGAACTAGTTGGACAAGAACCAAATCACCAGCTTGAAATTGTTGAGCTCTACGACCCTTATCTGCCCATTTCTTCATCCGCTTTGATGCTTTCTCCAGGTAGGCTTACGCAATCTCTGTGTTTTGTTTCCACTTTTTGCTGAGATTGAAGGCTCTCAGATTCTTTCCTCCATATTGTTCCAAAGAAGTGTGGGGTAGCCTTAGTAATTGTTCGATGATCACCTCAAATGGGCTTTTATTGATGGAAGAGCTTTTGTTGAAATTAAAGCAGAGTTGAGCCACGTCCAAATATAGAAGGCCAGTCTTTCTGATTAGCTTAAACAAAATGCCTCAAGTATTCCTCTAATAATCCGTTGAACCGTTTCATTTGACCATCGGTTTGGGGGTGATAGCTTGAGGAGATGTTGAGTTGAGACCCTAATATCTTGAAAAGTTCTCTTCAGAAGGACCCCGTAAATCTCGGATCTTGATCGCTGATAATGTTTTGAGGGAGGCCCCAGTATTTGACCACATGTTTGAATAATAGTCGAGCTGTGTCTTCTGCTGTGTAATACTTGTGAGCGAGAATGAATGTGGCATACTTAGAAAACCGATCAATTACCACCAAAATCGCTCCAAGGTCACCAACCTTGGGTAGGCTCGAAATGAAATCGAGGGAGATGCTTTCCCAAGGTCTGGTGGGTACTGGTAGTGGTTCAAGCATGCCTACAGGTTTCCTCCTTTCAACCTTGTCTTATTGGCAAATGAGGCAGGTCTTCGTATAGTCCATCACATCTTATCGCATGTGAGGCCAATAGTATCCCTGTTTCAATAACGCCAAAGTGCGTTGCCAACCCGAGTGTCTCGCCCATGGTGTGTCATGATATTTTCTCATTAGCATCTGTCTCAGACTTTCTGCTCTTGGCACAAATACTCGAGGTCCCTTAGTTCATAGGACCCCATTTTCTTGTCAGACGTACTTGGACTTCCCTTCTTCCACTAGCTTCAGGATGGCACAAGCTTGCGGGTCCTTCCCTAAGTGATCTCCAATCAACTTGTGAATGTCTGTAGTGGCTCTACTAGCCGTCATTAGGGTAATTCTTCTAAGGGCCGCTAGATCTACTCGCCTGCTCAATGCATCGGCCACTTGATTGGTCTTTCCAGTAGTGTGCTCAAAATAAAAGTTGAATTTCGCTAAAAATTTCTGCCATCTAGCTTGTTTTACCGTAAGCCTTAGTTGGGTGAGAAAATAGCTAACGGCCGTATTGTCTGTCTTCACGACAAAGTGTGAACCCAACAAGTAATGTCGCCAAGCCCTCAAGCAGTGAACCACCGCGAGTTTTTTTTCTTGGGCCGTATATTTCCTTTCAGCTTCACTTAGCTTCCTACTTTCAAATGCTATCGGGTGATGTTGTTGCAAAAGTACTCCTCCAATAGTAAAATCAGATGCATCTATCTGAACTTTGAAGGGCTTTTCAATATCAGGAAGAGCTAAGATGAGATCCTTCATAACAGCATCCTTCAATCCCTCGAAGGCCTCTTGGCATTCGCTCGTCCAACACCATTTACGCTCATTCTTCAATAGCTCCATGAGGGCTGTAATCTTGCGAGAGTACCCTTCCACAAACCTTCTATAGTAGTTGGCTAGTCCCAAAAATGAGCGGAGCTCACTAATATTCTTCGATGTTGTCCACTTTTTGATGGCCCTAACCTTTCCCATGTCCATTCGAATGTGGCCACGTTCGATAATGTGATCGAGAAAATAGATTTGGGTCTGAGCAAATGCACACTTCTTTCTTTTTACGTATAACTAGTGGTCATGTAATCTTTGAAGTACCTGGCACAGGTGCTCTTGATGCTCTTCCAAAGTGGAGCTATATACCACTATATCATCTAAATAGATGACTATAAATTTATCTAAGTAGTCATGGAACATCTGATTCATCAATGTATAAAATGTGGCAGGAGCATTGGTCAGTCCAAAAGGCATAACAAAAAATTCAAATGCACCATACCGTGTCACACAAGTGGTCTTTGGTTCATCTCCATCAGCGATTCGGACCTGATGGTAGCCAGATCTCAGGTCTAATTTGGAGAAGTACTTAGCCCGACTCAATTGATCAAACAAGTCTGCTATAAGAAGAATGGGATATTTCTTTCTTACGGTGACTTTGTTCAGGGCCCTGTAGTTAATACATAATCGTAAACTTTCATCGTGCTTCTTCTGAAATAGTACTGGCAATCCGAAAAGAGCTTTTGATGGTCTGATGAACCCGACTTGTAGCAACTCATCTAACTGCTTTTTAAGTTCTGCCAACTCTGACGGGGCCATGCGGTAGGGTGCTCTAGCAGGGGGTTTCGCTCTTGGGAGGAGCTCGATTTCATGGTCCACTACTCGTCGAGGGGGTAGAACTTTAGGCAACATCTCTGGCATCACCTCTTCGAATTCTTCCAATATTTTTTTCACACCATCAGGTATTGATTCTACTTTCGACCCTTCTTTGTAAATCAACACCGCCACAAAAGAGGGTTCCCCTATCTTTATCCCTTTCTTAAACTGTAAAGTTGAAATCATTTTTTTCCACTATTTGGTAGGATGTTGGCTGGCACCACATATGGGTGTTCTCCTAAGAACAACAAGTAGCTAGCGGCGGGGATAGGGATGACTTGAGCCAACATCATGAAGTTCAATGCAAGGACAACATCAAAGTCATCCATGGGGGAAACTGTAAAGTCTACCTTCTCCTCTCATGGCCCCAATCGGGTTGTCACACTTTTAAAGCTTCCATTGATTGTAAAGGCTGGCGAATTGATCGCCTTCATTCGTCCACAGTCTTTACTAATCTGAAGACCACACCTTTTTACTTTTTTTGGTGTGATGAAAGTGTCGGTTGCACCCGTATCCACCATGGTCTTGATGGCTTTCTTATTGATCGTCAAGTTCACATACATCAAGCCTTTACTCTGCTCTTTCTTTATAGTGTTCAATTAGATACGGAGGGCATTGAGGAACCTTATTGAACCCATCATGGCTGGCTCCTTTTCAGTTTCTTCAACGCTCTCTGACCCTTTTACGGACTCTTGAGATGAGGTCTTTAAGGCATTAAGGGCTCCCCTGTGCGGGCATTCAGTCATCCAATGCGGCCCCTTGTAAAGAAAGCAAGCTAGCGGTTGTCTAGGCTTGAAAATTCCTGCGTTGCTTGTCTTGGACTGGGTGCTATCTCGACCAAAGGACCTCCTGTCTGATCCCTCACTGAAGGGTCAGTCCAACCTAGTCATCTTTCTCCCACTTCTAAAGTTAAAGCTACTGCCAGCTGATAGAGGATTTTTTTGTTTTAAGGAGCCATCATTGTAATCGTAAAGATGTTCAACTGCAGCTATGGCCGTGGCCACATCTTGCACTTTCTGCCTTTGTAGTTTTGTCCTTGCCCAAGGCTTGAGGCCCTTAAGAAAATAGAACATCTTGTCCTTTTCGGCCATGTCTCGAATATCCAACATCATAGTGAAAAAGCTCTTCACAAATTCTTGCACCGTTCCGGTTTGCACCAACTCTCGAAGTCTCCTTCGAGCCATATACTCTACATTCTCAGGGAAAAATTGGTTTTTCAATTCTCACTTCAGATCCGTCCAAGTCTTAATCGGGCACTCGTCATCGACAAACTTGGAGTGCCACCACAGCTTGGCATCCCCTACGAGGTACATCGACGCCATTGTCACTTTGTCTTTCTCTGAATTTATGTGTACAGTTCGAAAGTATTGCTTCATGTCAAACAAGAAATTTTCAAGTTCCTTAACATCCCTTGCCCCCTCATAGCATCGAGGCTCCGGCACCTTGGGCCTTTGTCCCCTTTCCATCGAGCTTGAACCCGATCTGGCCATAGCCATTTGTAGAATGCTCACCTGTGCTCTGAGCTCCTCAAACTCCTTTTGAAGAATGTTCAAGGCATCTCTAGCCTCTTCGCTCACATTGTGGAGAGTATCGGACAACTCCCGCTGGGTTGTCTCGATCTCCCTCACTCAGTCTTTCGTCACCATATGAGTTTTCATTACGGCCACCGCGGCCTCAAGTTTCTCAATTCTCTATCGATGATCCGATCCACCATTTGTGGCCATCTCATCCATTTTTCTAGCACTTCTCAACCGTGCTCTGATACCACGTGTCACGGACTAAGCTTTCTCTCAACAAGCAATAGACCGTGCGGCACTTGAATGGGTGCTCCCAACCAAGTCAACCTTCAATAGATCGATATCTGAACAAATAATCATAAGTTATGATTAGTCACAAGCATTCACAATAAGGCACAACATATCGAGATCAATCTCAAGCACACACATAAGAAGGCATATTCGCATCAAGAAAAAGAAAAATACATCGAAGCAACAATCGGGACATTCGATTGGGATGAGTTTTATTATAAATGGGACTCATACATCGGGACCTTCCATCGTCACCAGGGCCAGGGGCAGCCCTTGGTGGGTGGCCTAAACTCGCATAGTAACTTGTGAGACAGCGCAACACTACGCTGCCGGCTCACCCCCCTAAAGAGCCTTAAAAATTTTAGAGCTATACTACCAGTAACTATTACAATGTTTGAAATTGAGATACTTTTCCTAGCACAAAGGATCTACCCGACCATGATCCTATACATGAGTAGCTCATGGTAACCTAAATCTTAGTCATAACCCTATACAAGATTAGCTCATGACACTTAGCCTGGGACTAGGCTTATCTAAAGCCTTCCATGTCCAATGCTCACACCAATCTTCTGGGGCTTTTTAGAAACTTCTCTCGAAAGGTTCTTAGGCTCAGTATCAGACAATTCTCAAAGGAGCTCTTTTTCGTGGCAAGGTGCTTGAGCGAGGGTCTGACCTTCTCATGTCGGTGCTCGGGCCTTAATCTTGATGGTGCTCACGTGGGGTGTGTCAGATGCATGATTGAATTATGCACAACTTTAATGGTGGGGTAAGTTTATTATAACTTAATTAACTTAAATTTCCACTTTTGGGAACGTGAAACTTGCTTCTCTAGCGCTAGGAAAAATCTCAATGAAAACGAAACATATTCTGCTAATGTTGATAATGGATGAGATAATTTTTGTTAGTGATATTTTTCAAAATTATCAAATTCATAGACCTACAATTAGCAAAGTTCTCATTTTGCACTAGGGCTCAAGAGAGTTTTGTGAAAAAGGCAAATGAAAGCGGCATAAAGGCATAATAGAAAGAATATCCATGTATGAGACTAAAAGCAGCTGCTTGGCCTGATTTTCAATTTCCTGCTGTGGCCGTGTCGACCTACTAATTGTTTTTGGATTTTCTGTCTTTATGATTCATTCATGTATGAAAAACCAAAACAATGACTCAGGTAAGGTTCCTTTGGCTGCAAGGTGTGGCAACTGGCCCGGCCCCGACTGCATATTTTTCAGTGACCCACACGGAAAAAATGGCAAACACCAGCACATGGTGCCAAAAATTTCCATGCTGGTCATTTTTTTCTTTTCTTCCGGATATTTCAAAATGAAAACAAAAAGTTCATATCAGCCCTCCGATTTTCTTTGTTGGGTGATTTCGAAATTTATTAAAAAATATCTTCATGATCAAGACACGAGTAGGCAAAACAGCCGACTCTCAACCGTAAACAGAGCTTTAATATAATCTCTATGATAAACCCACATGATTTTCTCTTTCTTCTTTGATAAAGACAAGTTTGTCATTACATTTTTTAGTACACAGGACCGTACCTGCATAAGGGGGCGATCTTATCATAAATTTAAAAAAAAGGGTCCATGTGATAAGCAACTTGCTCAAAAGCCAGTGTCGATTGTCAGGTCGGGGCCATGTTTTATTTAATTTTTCTTCTTTTTATACTGTTTCATGAAGGCAACAGCTTCAGACATATCAAATCACGTCCAATTGTACAGCAAGACGGCGAAGACCAAAATATTTCGTTTGCATTGTTCACCTAAAGATTAGATTTACAAGTCAATTTTTGCACTTATATTTCTCTCTCTCTTCTGGATAGGAGTTCTTAATTTCTATGGTTTTGATTTTTCTTTCAAGAGAAGTTTGAGACCTATATAATTATGTTAAATTCGTAGATTATTCAATATAAATTATTATTAATAACATCTGAGTTTTTCTTTTAGGTTCACATTCAAACTTCTTTCACATGTGTTGAGAAAATCGATGAAGATCAGATCTAATTTTGCCGTACAGAATGCTTCAATTGTATATTAACATCTCCATTACGTGGATTTCTTAAATTTAACGAAAAGGCCAAGCAGGAAGCATGTGCACGGAATCAGTACTGTCCCACTGGTTTTTATATGGTAATAAGTAGACGAACTTATAAGAAACCCACTTACCTTAAAACACAAATCATATCAAAAGAGGAATTCGGGTACCTTATCATCAGTCATGTTCCCATCCCAAGTTTTAATTATCGCATCAATTTAATAATAATTTATAACCCTTATATTATTTGTATGACACGTGTGGTAAAATTTTTATAGTTGAGTTGATCTTTTTGAGGTATTGACCCAGTGGATATTGTTTGTTGTAAAGCTTCTTTCTTCGCCCTATTTATCTTCCGTGCTTTATTTGTTGTTTGTTGCTTGAATTAATTGTCTTTTTACCCCATTTTCCATTTTTACTTCTATGCAAGTGAGTAGTAGATGTATTTATCAAAAAAGAAAATAGTTTTAATCTAAAATATATAAATATGATATAAATATGATATGATTTAAATTTTTAATAATTATTATATTTAAATTTAACTAAATTTAAAAAATTATAATTTATATTTTCATGTAAAATAAAATAAAAATACATAAATTTTAATATTTAACATAATATAAATATATCAATCGTTAAATTTAAAAATAATATACATATAAAGTAAAATATAAATATATAAATCATCAAATTTAAAAATAAAAATTTTAATTTTAATTTTTAAAATAAATTAAAATTAGTCTGAACATTCGTTATTATGAAATAATTGTTTTAATTTAACGTAGATATATGTTTCAAAATTTAAAAATTAATCTCTTATTATTTTTTTTCTCTTCTTTCCTCGTTTTCCTTTTCTACCGATTTGAATTCCTTAAGCCGATTTTGATCAATCACCAATCGGACCTAATCAGACAAGGTCGGATCTAGTGTTGATAGGTTAGAAAATGCTTGAAACCAGGCGAAATCGGCCTAAAGAGACTGAAATCCAATTCGAAACCTGGAACAGATTTTGACTTGTTTAGGCCGCTTTTAGACTATTAGTGCTGGATTCCACTCGTCTAGCCAAAATCCGGTGCGTGACTAGCTGAAATTGATAGTGAAAGGAGAATTGGAGAGATAAGGAAGGGGAGGAGAAAGAGAAAAAAAAATAATAAAAGAAACAAAAGAAATAAAAATTATAAATTATAAAATTCTATTTTATTATTCATTTTTTAAAAAATGAAACACATTTTAAAATTTTTATTTTCTCAAAAGAAAAAAAAAAAGAAAAGAAAGAAAAAATAATTTTTTATTGTTATTTTATATTTTGAATATGAAAATGTATTTTATAAAAAAAATCATTTTTAATTTTCAAAAATATTGATTTCAATTTTTTTAAAAATATTTTTCCTATGACACTTAACATCTGCACGTATGTCTCATGACATGATAATATAACATTATTTATCATATGTCACGGTGTAATTATTCCAAAGTCACATCACCATCTTAAATTAACAATATTAGCTTCAAGCACATAAAATTATAATATAAATATCACGTTAAAAAAATTTATAAAATAAACTAAGCAAATATGACATCAACCCCACATAAAACAACGTAACAGAGAAATAGAACCAATGCAAGATCAAAAGCATACAAATCCATATAATGTATGGGAATCATATGTGATTATGTGAATCATAGTTATATCGCTACTTGAGAAGGAAATAAAATTAGGATGGAAACCCAGGCTTTATGGGCCGTTTATAAGATAAAACCGAAACAAACATGTAAATGCTTCCCCTGCTTGTACGTCTGACAGAAACGCAATCCAACCAACATCCACCCACACTCGCTTGGGTGCTAAATCACGCGATGTGCCTGCAATACTGCTGGCCCCACATGGATATTGCCATCAGCCGGTCTTTCCCTCTCTTTCAAGTTAGATATAGATATAGATGTGCCCATAGCTTCAACTTTAAGCGCTTTGCTTTTAATTTTTTTCAATTCATCAACTCAATAAAAACAAAAGGCCTTTTACACTTTTTGGCTTTTTATAAATTAATTTTTGTTAAATTCTACTAATAGAGAAAACCAACAAATTTGATCAAAACCAGTATATGTCACCTTCTTGATTAATATACTTTGATTAAAACGTATTGTTAACCAATACAAAAGAGGGAATTCATAAATTTCTCTTTGGCTCAAGAATTTCTCTATTCTTGATCTATAAAGACAAAATGTTTAAAACATAAAATAAATGTTTTTTAATACCCATATTTGATACGCTATTAGCATGAAAGTTTGGCATTCAAATATATGGATTAATTGATGTGGATAGTAATTTTTTTTTTTTTTAGCATATAATAATTGAGAAAGTTATGTTCATATTAAATAGCTCTTAAGCATCGAAACTTTTGTCATCCTTGGTTGAATTTTGGATGTGATTGAATCAAATAAAAAATTGTCCCCACCTCAAAAGATATCACCGACCACCAACAGCATGCCAAAGCCCAAAAGTCAATAACTACTGCGTTAAGAAATAAGAATTCCAAATGTCATTCGGTAAAGTCATCGAACCTAAAGAATCGCACACCAAGAACTGTACCCATTGCAAGTTCCGTCGATATGAAAAAAAAAAAAAAATCAACACCACCATCACCGCCCCGTAGAGTTTCCGTTCAAGTAAAACAGATTCTAAACCGTTCGTGTCAACGTCGTGGCTACACTTTTCAACAGAAGTATATACGGTGATAATTTAAAATATGATATATCTTACATTAAATAAAAATTCTATTTATGTATAATTTCAAATAGATTATTTATATTATATAAGTAAGTAAATTAAATGTTAAATAAGGCAAATTATTTTGAGTTTGTTAAGAATTTTTTTAGTGGATCAAATAATAAATTTGAAAGTTAAAAATTGAGCATTTAAACACTTTTAAATAAACATATTTGAATAAAAAATATAATTATCTAAATAAATATGTTTAAAAAAATAACTATTTAATTAAAATTATTTAAATAAAAAATAGAACTATAAAAATTATCATAATTTTTTAAATAAAAATTTTATAACTCTTCAATTATTATAAATTGATTTCTTTTACTTAATCGATTTTACCTCTTCTAATTGAGAAATTTTAAATTTTTATTATATCTATAAACATAACTATTTTTAAAATAATACTTTTCACGTTTAAAAATTATATTTCTTCTTTCTTATTATTTCTATTTTCTCGATATTTTCTAACATCATACTCGCACTCTAAAGTTTAAATACCCAAAGTCAGCCCCAAGTTCGAAGACGTCAAATTCCATCCCAAACCGCCATTCAAAATCCTCTCATCAGTCATCAGCCTTTCGGGTTTTCTTGGTTTTGCTCTGTTTAGACAGGTTAGAGGTTAATGGGGTTTCGAGAAACTTACACGTTCAGTGCCTGGAAATGGTTAGGCTTTGTTTCTGCCGTATGGGTCCAGGCCATTTCAGGCAATAACTATACATTTTCAAACTACTCCGATGCTCTCAAGACACTTATGAGCCTTACCCAACTTGAGCTTAACAATTTGTCTGTGGCTAAAGATGTTGGTAAGGCTTTTGGTCTTTTGGCTGGCCTTGCCTCTGATCGTTTGCCCACGCCGGTTATTATCCTTATTGGTTCCATTGAAGGATTGATTGGTTATGGTGCTCAGTGGCTTGTCGTCAGTCAGAAAATTCAACCCCTTCCTTACTGGCAGGTATATACTAAATACCAGTAATTGATACCTCAAATCCTCAATTCGACCCCGTTCAATGTATCTTGCTTTGAGTTGTTCTTTCAGTAATGAAAGGAATCATGAAATGGAATACTTCAAAAGAAAAAAAAAAACTTTTCCTGTAATAGTATGAAAGTATTCGTGATAAAAAAAAAGTGGTGGGGCTACTAAAATTTTCCATGTTTAGGTTAGATTGTTTATTGATTATCAGATAGTTTGAATGGTAGTTTAAGTTTCTAAAATTCCTAATTGCCATAGAAATTCACTGTTAATAAATTTCTAGAATTCTAAAGATTCCCTGTCTTCTCCGTTGAAATCTAATTCCCAAGAAAATGAGTCTTTTTCATTGTTCAAAATCTCTACAATTTCAACAAAAATTCTGAGTTTTTCAATTTTGCTACTTACAGATGTGCATATTCTTGTGCATGGGAGGCAACAGCACAACATGGATGAACACAGCAGTGTTAGTAACATGCATCCGCAACTTCCGCCGCAACCGTGGCCCGGTCTCTGGCATCTTAAAAGGCTACGTTGGTCTCAGCACCGCCATCTTCACCGACCTCTGCTCTGCCCTCTTCTCCGATGACCCTGCCACATTCCTCATCATGCTCGCCGTTATTCCCTTTGCTGTTTGCCTCACTGCCATCTTTTTCCTCCGTGAAATCCCCCAATCCGCCTCCATCGCTACAGAAAATGAAGAAACTCGCTATTTCGCAATATTTAACATAGTTGCCGTTGTAGTCGCTGTTTATCTTTTAGTTTACGATTTCATCGGTTCGACCAATCAAGTTTTTTCGCTCGTTTTTGCTGTTATACTTCTTATTTTGTTAGCTAGTCCGTTGGCGGTTCCGGTTTATTCTTTTGTAAAGAGTTGGCGCTTGGTCGGGTTCGAGCCTGACATGGAGCGACAGGAACCATTGCTGAAAGAGGAAACTAAGGCGACGGATGTTGAGAAAACGGAGGCTGTTGCCGAGGAGACGGAAATAGTGGCTGCTGCGGCTGTGGCTGTTGCTTCGGTGGAGGAAGAGGTGGCGACGGTGGAAAAGAATAGGCCTGAGATAGGAGAGGACCACACGATATTTGAGGCGATGAGGACATGGGACTTTTGGCTTTTGTTTGTGTCGTTTTTGTGTGGGGTCGGAACAGGTTTAGCGGTGATGAATAACATGGCGCAGATTGGCTTGGCCCTTGGCCACGCCGACGTTTCTATATTTGTGTCACTGACCAGTATTTGGGGCTTTTTTGGACGGATCTTTTCTGGTTCAGTTTCTGAGTATTTTATCAAGTAAGTTTCAATGTTTCATTCCTTGCCCGTATCTCAAATTTGCATGATTATGACATTTTTGTAGCATCTTTTAGTTGGATTCCTATCTTTAATTTATTCATTTATTTATGCCCATAGAAGAGACTATGTCCAAGTCGTTCTGTTGTTAGTAATATCCAACTTGATATATCCTAGATATATTTCCAAATTCTTTGATTTGGTGAGTTCATAAGATGAAGGGAGAAAGTTTCTCTTTGTTCATCGTCTTTGAATTTATCAAAGGAATTTTCTATTTTAAAATCTTGTCAACCTTTTTGGATGGAATATTGGAGTTTGTAAATCCAAGTATGAATTAGTATAGAAAAACAAAAAATGTTACAATCATGCTTTTAATAAATAAGGTAGGTTTCTTTCTTTTTTCTTTTGAAAGGGGATATTATTTTGAGTTTCAAAGGTTACAGGATACATAAATCTACTGTAGATTCTGGTTTCTTTCTCATTAAGAAATCTGTTTTAGATCTTCACATGGGTTTGTTTTCAACATAAAATTTACACGAAATCCTATTTCTCTTTCTTGTACTTTACATCGCTTAATCAATTTCTAGCTTTCGGAAGATAAAAAAAAAAGTTGTTGTACAGTCAATTAATGGGGACAGGTAGAGATGTTGTTACTTAAATGGAGATGTTACAGATAGGTGTCATAAGCACAAAGCTTATTCCTTTGCTGTTTTGCTTGAATGCATTTGAAGAAGGGGACCATTAAATCCATGAAAAATCTCTCTTTTTAAAGTTTTTTAATGCATATCATATTCACCATATTAATGCTTTGATGCGGACAATTTAAGCGTAAACGTCAATTGATGAATTTTCTTTAATTGGCTGTCTTATTGATTAATTACAACAATTTTCTTGGTCAATGTGTTTGTTGTGTGTAGTTATTTTGTTCTTATCTCTTGGTCCCATCTTTAGTGCTTAGGTTTGAATCTAAATTTTAATTTCTTCTCAAGGAAGACTGCCAAAAGGTTATCCACAAATTTTGTGAATCTTGTTTTTGAAATGATTGAAACTAGTAGGGTTGGTTACAGCGTAGGTGAATTGATGCGGCAAGTGGACAATGTAGATGATGGAAGAGAGAGATAACCTAGTTAACACTATGCTGGTAACGGGTTTCATGTGATGAGCTCGCAGCATAGCTCTTGACAGGCATCTTAAGTCGTTGCCGTCTTTCATGCTTGGCCGTTTTGGATACCGTTATAGGATAATTGAGTGATTGCATTGAGTCTTCATGTTACGGATATGATGCATGCCTGTAACGCCCAACAGTTGTGATATTTGTCATCCTCTGATCATTTTTCTGTGCTTATCTCTTTTAATAATTAATTAGTTCAGCTTACATAGTTGTAAGAGAGATGACTTTCTTTCATAAGAACCGTACTCGATGTGCATTGATTTGCTATATTTAATTGAATGAGTTTTTCAACTAACATGGGCTATGAACTTTGAACTACCTGCAGGAAGGCTGGAACACCTAGGCCTCTTTGGAATGCGGCATCTCAGATCCTGATGGCAGTTGGGTTCCTTCTCATGGCATTAGCAATGCCTGGTTGCCTTTACATTGGTTCAATTGTTGTTGGAATCTGCTATGGCGTCCGTCTAGCAGTGACAGTCCCTACTGCCTCGGAACTATTTGGTCTTAAATATTATGGTTTGCTCTATAACATTTTAATCCTCAACCTTCCCATCGGTTCTTTCCTCTTTTCTGGCCTGCTTGCTGGCTACCTATATGATACACAGGCTACACCAACACCAGGAGGTGGGAATACCTGTGTGGGAGCCCATTGTTATCGTCTTGTGTTTATCATAATGGCTGTAGCCTCGGTTGTTGGATTTGCTTTGGACGTTGTGCTGGCAATTAGATCCAAGAACGTTTATACCAAGATATTCACCAGTCGGAAATCGAAGAAATCATCGACGGCATCTAATGGCCAGCGATAGAAAATTCTGCAGCAAAGGGAAGGCTGGAATGGTAGGATTGATGAGCTTTTGCTCAGAGATATCCTTGGTACACAGCATTGGCTGGTTCCTCATTTTATAAGGCGATCAATGATTCTAGAAATCCATTAGTAGGCTCTCTGGTCTGAAATAATTTCTATATCTGTATTAATAGTCTGAATGGATTATTGTTATTATTTTTTTGTTTTTAAAGAAAATGTTTCAAGGTTTAAGTTCTCAGAATTTTTTTTAATTTCCATATCTGTATTTTGGTTTGAAAAAGAAGGAATCGCAGAAACCTTTGTTGTGTTTTAGGTCCTTTTGGATCACATGACCCAAGTTTGTCTTCTGGATTGAGCTGGGCAGATTAAAGCCGATGGACTACAAAATTGCTGTTAATTTATTAAAGGCCAAGCCTGCTTGTGGAAGATTTTTGAGGCCCTGATTGATTCACGCCCATAGAAAACTCAATGGGTTTTTTCTTTGTTACTTGTACTGTATCTATGGAAAAGAACATATACTGCCTAGTCGAAATCCATTTAACACAATCTTTGCCCCACTCCCTTTCCTGCTTTCGCAAAAAAATTTAGATGTCATTGCAAAAAAAAAAACTTGCTTTTTTTTTTATCACACTGTTGGTAGCTTGAAGGACATGCTACAACGGAGGATCTAAGAATTGCAGTTCTTCAAGGCCTACTACCCCATTTCATGGAGCAGCAGAAAAACTAAATATTGCCACACAGCCACGACGCAGAACAGACGGCCTACATTCGTCCGGTTGGTAAAATAGAAAACTGTCAACAATCTACATACCCACTTCAATTGTCATTTCCCTTTTGGGATGCTCCGGGTGTGAGATCTGAGGGTTCTCCATCTCATCTCAAAACCAAAATTGTTTTACATTTTTATGTATTTGTCATCTTGTTTTACCCTTCAGGTTCCATATAGGGAGAGGGCATTTAATTTTCATTGACTTTGAGCATGTGAATGCATGATCCCAATATCACGCACGCGTGCAAGTTCAAGCCATGAAGCCTCCCAGAATCACTTGTCTGACAATGGAGGACTAGACTTAAAAACAACGCAGGGTGCATTTATCACTCCCCACCTTGAAAAGGTCACTGTCCACACCTATTTCCAAGTCACTTTCGTTCAATTACCAATCTTCAATTGGTCCAGAAATTGTGTTTTCCATAATCAAACAAAAAATTAAGGCATCTACTAAAACTAAACGGCAACCAAATCTTAGATAAAAACACTTAACTTAGACTCATCATTTAGCTTCTAGCAACAATCCAAATCTCCATTAAAGCAAGAGCGACTAAAGATTAAGCAAAGGTCAATAAAGCTAAATGACAGAATAAACTTCCCACCGGACACATTATATAACGTTGAGTCTAAGCCTGTATAACCACAAATGGAGCAGCAAAGGCAAGTTAGTAATCAACAAAGGAATGAACTGATTGTTGTTTTAAGTTCACATCACATGAACCCTTTTTTAGTAAGTAAAACGTGTGAGCAGGGCATGGGTGTTCACAGGCCTGCTACTGTTTCCTTGTGATACCCACCACAAGCCTTAAGTACACTCCCTCTTCTTTCTCCCTCTTTTGAAATCTTTATTCTTCTGTAGATTGCCTTGAAGAGAATAACTTTTCTATATAGTAGATAATCTAAACTGCAGCATTTTGTTCAATAGTTATGCTTTTTCAGTAGCAGTATGTTTTACGCACTCCAATGCAGAAACATGAAAAATTCTCTTATTTTTGGTGGCTTCTTGGCTTTCTTCTTTCTTCTTAGCGGTTCCTTGGCTGCTTCATATGGTTCTTTCTGCCTTTCTCTCAGTGGTTCCGTATGACTATTCAATTCTAATGGGATTTTCAGAGAACTTAATTTGGTGGTTTTTTTGTTGCTGCAGGTGGGCCTTTATATGATTTTACTGCTTACACAGAGGTAAATTTTGAATATGGTTAAATTATTTGTTGAAAGAGACTATTATCCAGTGCTGAATATTGTTAAATAGGCTGTCTCAAGTTATTTGATTTACTTTTCAAACAATGTCAATGGCCCTTCTTCATGTTATTGGTTTGCAGTGTAAAGCACAGCCAGAGGAGCCACTGTACCAAGGAGGGATTCTGAAAGATGAGCCTCCGGTTATGAGACCGAGCATTATTGGCGAGGCTGCAACTGGTTTTTACACGCCAGCTTTTGTATTGAAGAATCTCACGCAGGGCAACATTTACTGTTTCTCCAGTTAGGTTCTCCAGTTCTTCTCTTTCACTTTCTGTTTCTTTGTTATGCTATGGTCTCAATGCCCAATGTATTTATTAGTGTGACTGATTGGTATATCACATTATCAACCGTGCCCCAAAAGGTGGCGTTGTTTAAGGTTTGGATTTTTGGAACATGACAGCCGACAAGTCATTTAACATTAAACTAATCAAAGCAATGTACCGTCCATACTTGAAAAGTAATCTTGATACAATGCTCTGACCCCGGCTAAGGACCATCCCTATTGTAGAGGCAATTCAATTTTTGTCGTTGACAAAAAATTCAAAACTTCTTATAAATTGTATTGTACCGTGAAACATTTATCGGAGAAATAAAATTAATTATATCATGCATTGGCTTATTATCTTGGTGTTTAACAGCTTGGGTCAGAATACAAGGTGCAAATTCAGATCTCATTAGGGCAAGCCTGAAGACAGAAAACAAAACATACGATTGTATAGGGACTGTTTTGGCTAAGAATGGATGCTGGTCATTTCTGAAGGGTGGATTCATTCTAGATTCACCTTCAAACTTCTCTTTACTACTATTCCAGGTGAATATATGTTCATGATACCGTGTTGCATAAAGTATTATTTTTCTATTTAGGCTTTTAGAAGTGAAATAATTGAGCATCAGCTCATGAAAAGAATTCCAGAAATGCTTTGGTTGATTTTTCTTCTAAGACCTTTTTCTTGTGTTGTGGATACGCAGAACTCAGACGATACGGATATCAATATAGCAATTGCTAGTGCCTCATTACAGCCATTTACTGATCAGGAATGGAGGATCAACCAGCAATACATAATTAACACTGTAATTACTGTCCACACCCTTCTCTTGGTTCATAATTCGATTCTTAATATTCTTAAGGTCCTCTTTCCAGTTGATTGCGAGATTGAACTTTGCGAAACGTTTGGGCAGCAATGGAAATATCCAATCATAAAAAAATGTCAAGACAACTGCAAATCTTTCAAAAAGGCTTAGATAAAAGCAGACTTACTATTTGAATTATTGCTTTTATAACGATGTTAAGAGGAACTGTCTTAACTTTATCCAGCAAAGGAAGCGTGCTGTAACAATACATGTTTCAGACCAACAAGGAAACAGATTGCAAGGAGCAGAAATAACATTAGATCAAGTCTCAAAGGATTTTCCATTTGGTTCTGCAATAGCAAGCACCATTCTGGGAAATATGGCCTATCAAGTATGTTCAGCTTGTAAACCTTCTCAGTATAGATTAATAATTAGAACTTGATTATTGGTATAAGTCTAAAGGGGTAAACATCTGTTTTGCCGTTGTACTACAATGCTAGAAAATTGATCTTGTTTTCATTTCATCTCACAGAATTGGTTTGTTGAGCGATTTAATGCAGCAGTGTTTGAAAATGAACTTAAATGGTATGCAACAGAACCTGATCAAGGAGAGACCAACTACACCGTACCAGACCAAATGTTGGAGTTTGTTCGAGCTCACCAAATAATAGCCAGAGGCCACAACATATTCTGGGAAAACCCCAAATACACCCCTGCATGGGTTCGGAACCTTAAAGGTCCCGACCTTCAAGCAGCAGTCAACTCCAGGATACAAAGCTTAATGAGCAAATACAAAGAAGAATTCATACACTGGGATGTTAGCAATGAGATGCTTCATTTTGAATTTTATGAGCAACGACTTGGACCAAATGCAACCTTGCATTTCTACGAGACTGCACACCAAGCAGACCCCTTAGCCACTTTGTTCATGAACGAATTTAATGTAGTGGAAACCTGCAGTGATGTGAAATCAACGGTTGACAGCTACATTGAAAGGATAAGAGATCTTAAACAGGGTGGCATGTACATGGATGGAATTGGCTTGGAAAGTCATTTTACAATACCAAATCCTCCTCTAATGAGAGCTGTGCTAGACAAATTGGCTACGCTTGGACTCCCCATATGGCTTACAGAGGTAGATATTAATAGTTCGGTTGGTAAAGAATTACAGGTGATCATATAGAATTCTCATTGATGTTATCAATATTTTAGCCATTACTTAAAGGGCATAATATTAATTTTATGCTTTGTGTTTCCTTAACAGGCCATTTACCTAGAACAGGTATTAAGAGAAGGCTTTTCACATCCTTCAGTGAATGGGATAATGCTTTGGACAGCTCTCCATCCTAAAGGGTGTTATGAAATGTGCCTAACTGATGAAAATTTTAACAATCTCCCAGCTGGTAATGTGGTTGACAATCTATTGAAAGAATGGCAAACCGGGGAGATTAAGGGGCTGACAGATGAGCATGGTTCATACAGCTTCTATGGATTCCTGGGTGAATACGAAGTAAATGTCTGCTATGGAAGCAGAACAGCAAATTCTACTTTCTCACTTTGCCGCAGTGATGAAACTAAACACTTTAGCATTCAATTGTAAGACAATGATTCTAGTCTCTCTGTATATGGGCAAATTAAATTAGATTTTGACAGTATTCAGTGTATAAACACATATTTTTCTTGAATAATTTAAACTAGTCAATTGATTAAACACGACTACAAAAATTTGCGACGTTAAGAAAGGAGATTGTTTGGGAGAATTGGGAGTATACTTTTTGCGAGTGTAAACTAGCCTATCAAGGTTACCTCGGGCTCTGGCCCAGTGTCCTATCACCCGTTAGAAGAGGGGATTCTGATACATGGATATTGAGCTCGACGACCCAGCAGGCAACAATGTTTCTATCAAAATGCTATGTTATCCATACATATTGGGCTACTACGAGGTTTGATGTTCAACAATAGTATTGAAATCTAAATAGAGCAACTTCGTTCCATAGTTTCCATTAACCCTTGTTCGCCAAGATTGAAGTGCAATATTAGACGTATAAATGAGGTGCCAAGCGGATGGGTTTAGGTTTGGGATCATGTAAGATTTGGATAATGTCTTCGTTCAAGCATTTTGGAGTTTGGGTCAAGATAGGATTTACAGTAATCAAATAATTTTTTAGATTTTATGAAAGATGTAACGTGTTTTCGAGTGTTTTTTTTTTTTTTTGAATTAGATCATTTCCAAGTTAAAATTTTTTGAGATTCATGTATTGATTTTACTAATAAATTGGATTTCTGAATCGTTTTTTTTTTTTTAAACGGGTTTTTGGGTTTGGGATCATTTTACACCTTTAGCCTTCTGATGCAGTTTAGTTTAAAAAGCTTGTTTCTCTGTTTCTCATGCCATCCGTATTCTTTTTGAAGGAAAATTACTGTGATTTAACGAAAAAGTGGTTGATCTGCGATTTCCTAATCAAAGGAAGCCATGATATTTTATTAAGTATCCAAAATTTTCTCCAACCTAGCACTTTCAAAATCAGGTAAAGGGTTTTAAGTTTCCTCTATGATAAAGCTAATAAGCTGAACATAAATCTGAAATGGCTTACAGATGAATTCTAATCTTGTAGTACGGGTCAGGATTTTCTCTCCCACTTTGCCTTCTTTCTTTGTTTTCTGATCTGACAAATAAATGGCTGGGTTATGTCCCTTCAATGAGTTGAATCAGCAAACCACTACGATAGAATATGTTCTCCAAAACAAGCCTTCAGCAGGCAGCTTGTATCATACGTTGCTTCCTCTTATAAATCATCCTACTCACCTGTTACAGCTTACCTTAAAAGCAGATTCATCCGATGCCATTTAAGGAACCTTCAACTGGTTTATATGATCTAAAGTTCTAAACCCCACTTACCCTTATCTGTTATACTTCTTCAATCAACTACTTTTATCAATAGATAAGATTCTCTAGGATATGTCCATCTTCTGCTATCACTAATGGCCGCTACAACAACAGTATAATAAATTCATAACATCAACAGAAAAAAAAAAAAAAAAAAAAAAAAAAGGAATTCTTGACAGGCTAACATGGTCAGTTCAATTATGGGTCACGATGAGAACGCTAGTGGGTAGGACCCGCGATATAAATAATTTAGTTTTCCTGTGACATGTTTTTTCTTTAGCTTGAGAATTATTCTTAAAAAACACTGCTTTGAAACATTTTGTTAAGACAATTTTTATTGTTTCAGCTATCAATTCAAGTCCATTGTATCTTACCGATTTCCTTAATTTATGCTGGACTCTGACAGCATTATTTGATGCTTGTTCCTGATGATAATGCCTCCAAGTTTCCTCTCTGATTGAAACAGTGCTACAAAATCTTTATTATAATTGATTTGGCATCTCTATTATTAAGAAATTATTAAGGTAATTATTTGTGCCAAGTTTCAAATAAAACCTGACATTATAAGAGAATAATTAAAGGCAAAATCAAAGAGTTTTTTTTTTTTATTAATATTTTAACGCACAAATTGGTTATAAATGATAAAAAAAATAAAGTAAAAAAAATAAAATGATTAAATAATACTTAATTTTAATTTATACATAAAATTTGAGAAATTTACGAAATAAATTGATGAAATAATAAAATTAATATAATATTATATATATCATATTTACACGATATAAATAATAAATTTAATAATTAAAAACATCTCTAATTATCTATTAATAACTTTTAATAAAATAAAAATTATTTTATCTTTTAAATCGAAAAGTACCCCACAGCAATATTTTCAATCACGTGGAATCTGCTCTTTTAACAAGCCATCTCGTTCTTTGAGCCTATGGTAACAGGCCATCTCCATTATACATACAAGCCAACTGTTCAGACGTTAATCCCAATAAGCGAAGTTAACCACCGAATTTTAGTCGTTTATCTATTGTAATCATCGCATCAGATAACATTTTAGGAGCTCAGATGGTCAAAAAGTTACCTGATGTGGATCAATTTTTGCAACAACCTTTTAGAAGTTAGCTCAACCCAATTCAACAAAAGGTACTTAATTTGGCAAAATTTTCAAGGGCAAATAGTCCCACTACTTGACTTTATCCACACTTTATTAAGGCCCCATTTGATTATTTTCGCTTTGGGTACCCAACCCACGTTTCAATATGATTTACTAAATTGATTCTCACTTCCACCGAACAAAGTGATAACATGACGTAATAGGCTCCTAATCCATGGCAGACAAAGGCAAAAGCTGAGCTGAAAACTTGTGAGTTCGGCATCCTTCACACAAGACAGCCAAAATCCTCCATATTCTTGTTACAAACATGCTTTTAATGAAGATCTCTCCTATTCTTTGCAATTCAATTAGCCAAGAGAAGCAAAGAACCAAAACTGAAAAGCCAAAGATAACAGAAGACAAAACCAAAATTGGTAGACCGAAATCAAGCAATTCATCTACTAAATCCTAAAATTTTAGAGAAACAACACCTTTTAATGTATATTACATTGAAATTCTAAGGGGGAATCTTGAAGCTGGTGGTTTACAAACTGGCCCAAGAATCTGTCAGCTTTTCAAACAAAAGCCAAACCCCATTTGCCCATCAAAGCTGCGAATCTGTAAAGAATTCACACTAACAAAAATAACAAAAGCCATGATAAAATGATGGAGAAAAGCTACAAGTAAAGAAATGAAAACAAGAGAGAGAAAGCGGTTGATGCCATGAGTACAGATTGTAGAATAGACGGAGAAACTGTTCTTGGTGAATCTCCCATGGCTAAACCAGCTAACCATGACCCATCTGTCAACATGGTTTGTCCAGATCCTGATTCAGAGCTTGAACCTGAACCAGAGTACCCAGTTCCAGAGAATCCATAACCATAACTTGAATACCCTGAACCAGAATACCCATAACCATTACCCGAATAAGTTAACCCAGATTCTGACCCTGATCCTTGTGATGTTGAGCCTGTCATTGGGGTTGATTCCGTAACCGGTGTAGTATCTCTCGAAGATTTTTGACTACAACAAGATATCAGGAATAATCCATAAATTACTCGTGCAGTAAATATACAATTTTTGTCAGATTCATCCTCGACAAACAAATCAATTAACATTTAAAAGCAGCCTATACCTCATCAAAAAAATACAACTTCATTTCACCAATAATTCACTTTAATCTTTTTCCCCCTTAAGCCCCACCAATTTCCTAAGCGATAGAGACAGAAAGAAACAAAAAAAAAAAGGAATAATCCTACAAACTACCAAAATGAGCCATGTATACCTGGGAGAAGAATCTTACTGATAAAAACAATCATTAACCATATCAAAATTTTCATTTCAGATTAAGATTTTAGACGACAAAAATACTGGTGAAACATTACCTGGGAGAAGAGGGACAAAACGTCACCGTATAATCTGCTCCAGTACACGTGAATGTGCTTGTAGCATCATCGTATGCATAGCTGTAGGATCTCGGACACGCGGCCTTGAACATCTTAGAATAAACCGATGGTTTACACGTGGTGGGTGTGCTATACGCGCCACTACAACAATATTCGGGACTCCCAAATGCCTCACACGCGCTTTTGCAAGCATCACCTTTCCCAACCCGTAGCTCCGACGGGCATTGCTGGTTCAAGTCAGTTGTACATCCGGTGGAAGCACAAAGACCCGACCCGCCACTACCTTCAACGATCACGGGAACATTGTAGCCATCAACAAGGCTGACGTCATAAAAATCTTGCCCTCCAGTTCCAAGAGTGAACTCAGCCAGAGTTACTGGTGGAGCAGCTCCAAGTCCGTTGCATTCCACCTGACCCGACCCACAGTCGCCTGTTACGCAGGTTCCAGAACCGGATCCGTCGAATGTGCAGCCCGTTCGGCCCCAGAAGCGACCCGACCAGCCAGTTGGGGCTTGAAACGAACGAGACGAGTCTTTAGGTAGCTCGAATCCGGTGCTGTCGAGTCTGGGGCTGCCTGCATTTGCTAATATCCCAGGCCAGACAGTGTAGCCGCATCTGTTCACAAATGTGAAAGAAGCACCCGAAACACCTGATAAAAAAATGACGGGTTTTTTAATGTAAAATTAAAACTTTGACATGTTAGAAAATATAATCCCTTCCTAAAACTGTAAATGTGAAAGAAACCGAAAAAAGAGGGAGCTTGGTTTAACCTTTTGAGGTCACAACTAATACAATGAGGCTGAGAATTAAAGGTGAGGAGCTAATGGAGTGAAAATCCATCAGGATTTTGCTGCTGCTGCTTCTTCTTTTTCTGTTTCTAATGTCTTTCATTTCCTTCAACTTGCTTAGTTAGCTAATTCAGAATGGAGTGTGAAAAGAAAGTTTTGGGTTTATGGTTTCAGAAAATGAGCAAATGGTACAATAATGGAGGAACAGAGGACAATGCAGGGGAGGCCTTACTAATTACTATGCCCCTGAGTGAAGGGGTAGTGATAAGAAATGAAGAAGGGTATTGGTGAAGAGAGTGAAGGGATTGAATTATCGAAAAACCGACAAAAGTGTTAATGGGAATGACAGAAGCGACAGAGAGAGGTCATTGAACAGGACACTGACCAGTATCTGCTGCTAGCTACTGTAATATAATTGTTAGAAAATTTAAGACAACAGAAATAATAAAATAAAAAAAATTACTTTGAGGTGCAAAAATATTACCTTAAAAGTAATTATTTTATAATATATAATAAAATTTTAAACAGTCATTTTTTTTTAGGTATATTTATTTGAATCATTATATATATTTTTCGTTTAAACATTTATTTAGAATAAAAATAAATTTTAGTAATATTATGAAATAAAAAATAAAAGATTTAATCACATGCTTATCTTTGACTTTTAAAATTATCTAATTCATTAAAAAAACTCTTAGTAAACTCAAATGATTTGATTCACTCTAATATTTAATTTAATTACTTAAAAAATATAAGTAATCTCTTTTTAATTATATATAAATAATCTTTCTACTCAAAGTGAGATACATCACATTCTAAACTATCAACAATCTCTCACTAATTTGAAATATTTGTGCTTAATCTTTAACCTTTCATATAAAAAAAAATTATGAATACAAGAATGTATGTTTTGATTTAAACCTTTAATTAACGTATATATTTTAAAATTTTAACGAATTTGATGGTGTTTGTAGATTAAACATCAACTCTTATAATTAAAATTAAAGATATAACACACATAATAATTATTTAATATTTTGTCAAAAATTTATAACCGTTTTAACATAATTACGGGCATATGCTTATCTTTATTTGTAAACATTTACAATAAAGTTTTTAATTTTCTTATTGAAGCGGCACTACTTCTATGTTTATATAAGTGAAATTTTTTATTTATATCTTGATTGCTATAGACATTTAATTATAGACTCTATTAAGAGTTCAATTTTATCTTCCATTTATACAATGACTTACACTAGTATTTCGAATATTTATAATGGGTTGACTAGTGCTTACAGATATATAACAATAACTTATTGTTACATATTAAACTTTGCAAATAGAGATTACTAATTCAAAGTTAAGTTCCCATTATTAGTGTCTAAAAAGAATATTAAACTCATTCCATTTGTGGTGCTTCCTACCAAATTTCTAGGTAGCACCTTGGTAAGAGGAAAACTATTACGTTGTTAGCAGATTTAACATATATTATGGTAATTACCTCATTTTTTTAATTATCCGATATAATTACATCTTAGACTAATATGTTTAGATTTTTCATTATAAATTTTACTATAAGCTCCAGACATAGTAGCTTCATTATCACAGTACAAGAAAATAACTGTTATTGGTTGTGGCCGTAACTCTATATCCATTAATAAATTTTTTAGCCATTCAATTTCCTTGCCCACTGCAACTAAAGCTATAAATTAATATTCCATAGTTAAATGTGAAATACTAGTTTTTTTTTTTATGCCCAGTTAATTGTACCACCTCCAAAAGTAAACATTCATCCTAAAGTAGATTTATTGTCACTTATACTAGTGATTCAACTTGTATCTAAATATCTTTCTAAAACAGTTGGATATTCAAAATAAAATAAACCAAAACCTTTAGTTCTTTTAAGATAACCTATAACTCTTTCTATTTATTTTCCAATGACTTATACTGGGCTTACTTGTATATTTTGATAACTTGCAAACAACAAAAGCTATATTTGGCTCAGTATAATGCATAGCATACATAATACTTTCAATATCACTAGCATATTCAAGTTGTGCAATTACATAACCTTGAATTTTTGTTAATTTTGTACTTGTATCGTATGGAGTATTGGTTTCTTTTATATTAAGATACTTAAACTTATTAAGTAGTTTCTCAATATAATGATTTTGATTAAGTACGAAACTCTTGTTATATCTCTTAAGTTTAATTCCCAAAATGGTATTAACTTCATTTAAATATTTTATTTTGAAATCAGAAATTATATACCTTTTGGTTTCATTTATTTCAATCATATTACTACTAAAAATTAGCATACCATCCACATAGAGACATATTATAACTCCATATTCTTTAGTAAATTTTAAGTAAATGCATTTATCCACTCCATTATGTTTAAAACTATTGGCTATTATGGTTAAATTAAACTTTTTCATGCCATTGTTTAGGAGCTTACTTTAGCCCATAAAGTGATATAATTAATTTACAAACTTTATTTTCATTACCTAAAAGAATAAAACCTTTTTGGTTGTTTCATATATACTTATTCCTTTAAGTCACCATTTAAAAAGGTCATCTTAACATCCATTTGATGTACATATAATTTATAAATGGAAGCCAAAGCTATAAAAACTCTAATGGATATTATTTTTTCTACTAGAGCACATGTATAAAAATAATCCATGCCTTTATTTTGTTTAAAACCTTTTGCAATTAATCTTGCTTTAAAGGTTTGTATAGAACAATTTGTATTATATTTTTTTCTAAACACCCATTTATATCTTATAAGTTATAACCTAGAGGTAAATCTACCAAGACCATATATTATTGGATATGATTAAGTCCATTTCATTATTAATAACCTTTTTCAAAAAAGCATCATCTCTTGAAGTCATAGTTTCATTAAATATTTTAAGGTCTTCATCTACATTTAGTAGAATTGGTGTTTTATTAAGCACTTTGGTTCTATTTTCTTTTATTAGGAAGACAATAGAACTTAGAGAAATAAAATCAGAATGCAAATGATTCTCTTTTCTAGTTTTTTGGTTCTTTCTAAGTTTAACAGAATCATTACTTTCTTTTCTTTTATGTCTAATTGTAAGAATCATTTCAATTTGTTTATTCATATCAATTTTAGTATCACATATAAACTTATTTTCAAAAAATTATACATGAATAGATTCAACAATAATATTAGTATTCAAATCAAAAAGTCTATATGCTTTTAAATTATGTGCATAACCAACAAAAATACTTTTAATACCTCTAGGTCCTAATTTTGATTTATGAGAATTAAGTATTTTATAAAAAGCAATGCACCCCCACACTTTAAAATAATCCAAATTTGATTTTTCTACCATGATTCCAAAGTTCATATGATATATTCAAGAATTTCTTTGAAATAATTTTGTTATGTATATAGCATGCTATTAAAAGTGTTTTTTTCTCAAAGATTTAGAGGTAATTTAACATTTAATAACATATTATTTACCATATCAATTAAGGTTTTATTTTTTCTTTCGGCTAAACCATTTTGTTGAGGTGTATAAGGGGTTGTTTTTTGATGAATAATTTCACTATCTTCACAAAAAAGAGAAAATAAATCTAAAAAATATTTGTCACCCCTATCAGTTCGATGAATTTTGATTTTCAACAATTGATTTATATTCTTTAAATTTATGAAAAGCTTTATCTTTTATTCTCATTAGATACATAAAAGTATAACGAGATCTATCATCTATAAATGATATAAAATACATTTTTTCCCCTTTGTTAATAAACCATTTAACTCACAAATATCATAATGTATGATTTCTAGCAATTCTGTATTTCTTTTCAATTTTAGAATAATGTTTTTTAGTTATTTTTGCTTTGACATAGATTTCACATTTAATATCATGATTTCCTAGTATGTTATATAACTATGCTTAGTCATATGATTCATATATTGATAATTTAGATATCCTAATCTAGCATGCCATAAAAAATAAGAATGCTCAACAATGTAAGAAAAAACATTATTTATTTCATTAATACTTAGTTTAAACATACCATCATTTGAATATCTTTTTTCAATGAATACACCATTTTTAGACGTATAACTTTACCATATTATAGTACAATTTTAAAGCCATTCTTACCTAATAGATTTGCAAATACAATATTCTTTCTAATCTTAGGAACATGAAAAACATTAAGTAAAGTTAGTTTTTACTCTAAGGTGAATTTTAATTCAATTGTTTATTTTTCAATCACTTTGGCAGGAACATGATTTCTCATAAGGATATTTTTTGGTCTTTTGCATTCATCATAAGTCTTCAACTGCTTTTGTTATTGCAACAAGAATTGTTGCACCAGAATCTAGCCACCAATCAGATGACTTAATTGTAGTAGCCATATGAACTTCAATGATCATGCTAATTTGCATTTCAGTCACAATTGTAACAAGTTCATTATTTTTTACTCAACCAAACTTGTCTTGTTTTCAGAACTAGAACCAATCTTAATTCTAGCATTTTTAAATATACAATCCTTAATCAAATGTCCTTTCTTTCCATAATGAAAACACATTTTATTCTTATTAAATTTGGATTTCTTAAATACATTATTCTTGACTTTAAAATTGTTTTAAAATTTTCTAGAAGACTTGTAAGTTTTTTCAGAATTTTGTTCACTCACATAATTCACATTGGAACCCCCAAGAAAGAGTGCATCTCTTGCACGATTTTTTTGCTTCAATCGGTACGTAAATATGAAATTCTTTAATAATGAAAATATCTATTGAATGTAAAAAATTTTTTCCTATATCCATTCCAAGAATGAGAAAAATTTGACAAAATAGCTCTAACTTGAAGTGAATCAAGAACCTTAATTTCTAACTCACTTAACTTATAAACTAGAATTTGCAAATCATGCACTTGGTCCATAATTAGTTTGTCATTAGTTATTGAAAATTCAAAGTATTTCAAGTTTAAAAACTTATCAGTACATTTCTTTTCGTTCATGTATTTATGTTTAAGAGCAATCTATATCTCTTTTACTGTTTTTATATTTCTGCATAGGTCATATAGATGATCAAATATTGAATTTAAAATATAACCTTAATAGACTAGTTTATATTCTTCACGTTTGCTTCTTATTGCCTTAATAGCATTAGAATCTTCTAGAATTGGTTTTGCAATTGGTTTCAAATTTGTACAAAGTACATAAAGCATATTTAATGCAGTAAAAAAAACCATTTTGTCTTTCCACCTAGTGTAGTTTGATCCATTGAAAACAATCAAGTTTGATTACATCTTGATTTTGAAAATGAACCTTCATGTTTGATTCCAAATTCACAATAGCAGTGAGGACAATAATAGAT